ATGAAGAAAATCGGAATTGGGCACCTGGGGCGGTCCCCTCGTTAGTTGGGTGTATAGTTCAATAGTGAGTGTATAAGACATCGCGAGGCATTCTCAAAATGAGCAGTCTTACTTATCTGGAAGAAACTTTGAAAAAATTTCGAAGAAGCATTCGCGCTTATATAGTTTGTGCTTCTGCAAAATAAAATGATATCTGGCTTTTAGTAAGAATTTCATAGGGAAATGACAAGATCGTCTTACTAAAGTCATAGCTCATTCTTATTTAAATCTTACCTGATTCTTATCGGATTCGTAAGAAATTCTTGCCATTTTCTTGCGGACTTCTTATGTAAGAATCCGATAAGACTCCGATAAGATCCTTACCAGAAATAACGAAAAATGTTCGTCTAGGGGCTGAAAAATAAAAACAATCTCTCAGCAAAAGTACTATGCAGTTAATGATAGATTTGCTGCTATCCCAGATAAATAATCATAAACTTGGTTAAAATCCTGATCCATTCCTTACTAAACGTTGTATTCGTGCAAAATTTAAATTTTTGGATTAAATTAATAATTATCTCATTATAATTGTTTATTTTAATAAAACGTTAATTTAAAGAACAAAAGGACCCTGCCGGATTTAAAAATTTGCAAGTATCAAAAAGTTTGAATAGCAGGTTCGACAGAGAATTTTATGGTGCATCTAACCATACATAATTTTTGGTTTGAAACTATGATCGTTTCTCAAAAAATAATTTGTTAAAAAGTTTGTCCATTTACTGACATGGGATTAGAGATGTGCAATCCCGGAGGGTTCTAGTGGAAAATCCACAAAATTTTAGTGAAAAAAATACAGGAATTTAGCTAATATACATGAAGGTTTAAAAAAAGAATTACTTAAGAACGTAATGATAATTTGACATCTTCAGTCGAAAAACAAAAGTTTTTAGCTGGAAAACAAAAAGAAGAAAAGTTTTAGGTATAAGTCGATTACGGATCGGGTACCGATCGGTGATACACAGTTCTCGGATCGGGTCGGGTACGGGTACAAAGTTGTCGGGTCAGGTATCGATGGAAAAAAAAATTTCTGATCGGGTACGAAAATGGTACCTTTGCACATCTCTACATGAGATAAAAAAAGTTTATTAACTCAGTATAGAAGTATGGTGAAGATATTGTTTATGTTAGAATTGTAGAAACGCGCTATGAACTGGTGATAAAAGAATTAAAAGAACTTGGTTGTTGTTAGAGAAAAAAGTATTTTTCGAGCAAAATTTGAAATTTTCATTTTTCATGCGCTTCACTAACACTTTAACTTCTATAGTAGGTCAAAGAAATACAGTACCACTGTCAAACTTTGTCAAAAATTGCCTGATACTTAACTCTATCTATCAACACAATTTGAGGCTTCGAGACCAGCTGTATTAATAAGAAAAAAAATTCAACATTGAAAAAGGTTCGTATACTTTATTGATCGTTTCGGCCTTAAAATTGATTTTTCTCATTTTTCCATTACATCCTTTTGTAAAAATAAGATAATATTCTTGATCCTTGGACAAAGCAAAATTGAACGGTACATTATACGAATATGGAAAAAGAAAAAAACAATCAGTAGTTCAGAAACAATTTTGCAAACCAATCTAGTTTTTTCTTTGAAAATATGGAGCAGATTTTTTGCACTTCATTAGAACCACATTAAATGAACTTTAAATATTGCTTTTTTTCCCACCTTGTTTTGTCACTGAGAAAATTCATGTTTTCTAGATTTCTAGGAGCGAAAAAATCGAAATTCTGCTGGTATTCTCAATTTTATTCATCAGCACTCAGGTTTTATGAGAGCAAAAATTAAAAAAAAAAAAAATTTATTTTGCAAAAATCATACTCGGTAACAGCGTCGCAAACTGAACCGAATTGTATATATTTCGAAACTTTTTGTTGATTTTCATTTTTTTGATGAAAATTTCAGTAATTTTTCAATGTAAAAATTCAAAAAAACTCAGAATAATCGGGTAGACTAACAAAGTACACCATTCGATTCAGTTTGCGACGCTAATTCCGAATATGATATTTGTATTAAATAAAACGTGAGTCCTGATGAATAAGAGTGAGAACACCTTTTTATGATAATAAAGTATTTTTATCTTATGTAAGTAAATGGTCAAACTTTTTAAAAAATTATTTTTTGAGAAACGATCATAGTTTCAAACTAAAAATTATATATGGTTAGTAGCGCAATAAAATTCTCTGTCGAACCTGCTATTCAGCTTTTTGATACTTGCAAATTTTTAAATCCAGCAGGGTCCTTTCGTCCTGTTAAACGCATACGAGACCTGATGACGCTAAATAGTTCTCAACAATGTATGGCCACCGGAGAGATCACAAAGCCCATTGGCATACTTCGCACAATGCCATCTAAAATTGATTATCTGTAGGAGCAGTCCGATGTTTTATTTCATTTTTAGCTTTGCTAGTTTCATAACGATCTGGAGCATGAGAATGAGCTGTTGGCTGTGAGAAATAGACATTCAGCGCTAAATTCGTATGACAGCACCCTATAACAAACAACAGGAGGCACTGTCTGCATGAAAAGAGCATCTTGTAAGCATTTTATCACGATTTTCACATCGAAAAACATGTTTAATACATCCATGGGGAAATTTTATCGACTTTTCACGCGTGAGGGACCGCGAAATGTCAACTTGAACTTTCACGAAATTTTGTAGATAAAGATAGCAAGTTTCACGACAGTTTGATCGTGTTGTTGCAACATCACACGCGTGGCTATGCGTGAAAAATCTTCATACGTGTACACAAGTAAGCAATCTTCACGCGTGATTACGTGTGAAAAAATCTTGACCATGCCGATCATCTATAGTCAACTGACTATACATGGTCACCATGGTCACCATGGCCAAGATATAATGCAGATTTCATAAATGCAGTCTTCATCTATAACTTTTCCACGTGTGACCACTAGTTTCTAAAATATCACATTTTATATATATCATCACAAAGTAAGAGTCGAACCCAGGCACTTTGAATTACAAATCTACGATACTACTATTGAGCTAACTTGCCTGAGAAACTACTGAATAAATCTCATATTCATAGTTGTCGAATCCATCCTCACGAGTTACCACGTGTAAAAAAGTTACCACGCGTGATTACTTGTGAACTTCCTAAATCTTTTTTCTTAGTTTCCAACTTTTCCAAACTTTTTTAGGTAATGCTTCCTCCCAAAGTCTTCAAGTTAAGTCTTTGAATACGGGGAACAAGATGATTCCCAGGCATATTCCTACAGCAAATACATTCGGTCTACAGCAAAGATTTTCATCTGTATGTATGTACAACTTTCAGAAGATATAGGAGAAATTTGTATTAATGCTTGCCGCTCAATCTTCACGACATTTCGCACCTGTAAAAGGTTTCTAACGTGAATGTGCGTGAAACGTAAGAATTTTGTCGCTCGGAGGTTAAGCGTGAATATTATTCACGAAATGGGTTGCGTGAAAAACTGACGTGCGAATAAATGTGAAGATATTTTTCACAATGAAATTAGTGGGAAACATTTTCATGCGTGTTCCGCAAATGATATGTTTTTACGGAAATTTTAACATGAGAAATTCACGTGTGGCCACCACACACTTTACGACTTTCACCTGTGATCAAGTGCAAAAAATATGACGCGAAACGTTTTCGTGACCAGTTCACCCGTTGTCACAAGTGGAATATATTTTTCACGCGTGCTCACACACCATTTTACGATGTTCACGTACGACCACAACTCATTTCACGGTATTCACGCGTGTACACACCGCGTTACTTACTAAAATTTCCCCATGGGTAGTACTTCAAACTATAGTATACCCATTATCAGCGTAATAGATCATGTCGCTACCTTTTTCCGTCACTACTTTGTATCAAGCAGTAAACTAAACTAACCGAGCTGACGTATAGAAGGCTAAGAGCAAAAGACGAATGATGCAATATATCCTTCATTATTGTTGCAATAGAGAGAGACGAATTGTTATAGTATCCGCCATATGTATGAAGGAGGAGGAGAAAGAATTATAATGTGGCGTCTAGTTTAGTCATATACGATTCGAAATTTCATATAGATTCTACTTTTACCTCGATTATTGATTTTCTCCCACATATGGGGTTCATTGACAAATCTTGCACTATGACCAGCTGGTGAACGAGCAAACAGTTTCTTCACTTCATCTGACTGTGCCTAGAAACAAAATATTTTTAGACTTGGTAAGAAGCATGTATAAGTTAAATTACATCTTCGTAAGCCGTTAATTGATGATTGTTTTGTATAGAACGACTTGCGCCACCTGTTTCTAACAGTAGCTGAACCACGTCTCGCTGATTGTTATGGGCAGCCGCGTGTAGCGCAGTTGAACCATTCGGCTCAATTTTGTTGACTTCAAAAACTGTTTGAGTTTTTAAATATTCACGAACTTCATCAATTTCCCCATTTCCACAAGCCAAATAGAAAGCACTTACAGCCATTTAACTATCGGTTTTCTTATCTAGTATTATACATATAGTTTCATGCTTCACTGCTCATAGTGTGCATTTATTTATTCTGGAGCTCGTCTCTTCTGTTACTTCTCACACTCTCTGCTATTTCACTTACAGAACAAAAAAAGAAAGACACGTATTCTAGATCCATCTGCATGAAAGTTTGGTTATAAGCAACCACATTCATATCTTTCTATTGTACAGCAATTTCCGCCATCTCACTCACTCTCAGATATACACCAATTACGGTTATTAACCTAGAACCATAAATAACCACTTTATAACAGCAATATCGCTTCGAATGTTCCTTTTTTAGTTATTTGAACTTTGTTTACAAGGATTTATCGCAGTTTGCCAATTCAACTTTCGTCAACGTTCGCCAATAGACATTCGTCAATCACTAATATGGCGAATGTCTATTGGCGAAACGCGACTTTACCCTTCACAATAGTGTACTTAGAATTATCGTGAAAAGGAAAAATCGGTTAAAAATTCTATTCTACCATCAGACGGGTCTTATGATTATCTAACGTGCTCTATTATTTTAATCACGCAAGAGACATTTTCATAGAGATGGCTGAAGGATCTACTGATGCAGACAGAAAAAAAGCCAAGCAACCTTTTTCTATAGTTGAGAGATAGATGTCGCCAGAAATCAGTTAATTTTGATAACATAAAAAAGTCATACTATTAATCATAATATTAATCTACAGAATATAGATGATCGGTGAGGGCAAGTTAATCATAAATACTTGCAACGCCGCTGGATCTTCAGAGGGTCTCCAGAAAACCCTTTGGCCTTATATTACATTGGGCGCTTTTTCCGTGAAATCAGAGAAGTTCACATGAATTATGAGCTAAATTGGCTGCGAACGCCGACCGAAGGGAGGCATGAGCATTTTTTGATTTTAGTAATATTTTTAATATCTTGGGCGATCTTTGGAGAGTTTCGAGGAAAGTTTTCGGACTTACATTATATTTCGCACCTTACACATGAAACCAGAGAAAAATTAAGAACGCACTTTAGATGGTCCCTTAGCGAAGGGAGCGTCGCAGAGGTATAGTATGAAACGTTTCCTACTACGATACCTTGAAAAGGTGTATTATGAAACCTGTTCACTACGAAACCTTAAAGAGTATGATAAAAACTCTTGACGGGTATTATGCGAAACCTCTTCGATTACTAAACCTTAACGAGGTTTCGCAGATCCGCGCCATACCTGACTCGTATGGGAAAGTTCTACAGAACCTCACAAGTTTCATACTATACCTTTCTTTTTAAGAGCACATGTATTTTAGGCCATATAAAAACAAACAAAGGTTTAATACACTATGAGCGGTGAAGCATGAAACTATATGCATAGTAGTTGATAAAAAAAACGATAGTTAAATGGCTGTAAGTAAGAGAAAACATTGTAGAACTAGCCACTATCATAGAACAGAAATGCAGTGACTATACATCACTCGATTTGGATTGATGTTTAAGAGGCAGTGCACGATAGGGACGAACAAAGTTGCGCAATGAACTGTGCAATGCACATTTGTGTCTCTTCGCACTTTTTTCCAAAATACTTTCCCTTGCCGCTAGAGCGCTTGCAAAAAAAGTCGTAAAATACGGAAAAAAGCGATTTTCTAGTCGAAAAGTTTGCTTATGCTATAACTCCGTCAAATCAACTGCTAATGAGCTTAAATTTTTACCAGAGCTGTCTTGCTATGAGTACTACCTAAGATAAAAATTTGAATTTGTTTGAGTTAAGCGTTCTCCAGAAATAGTTTATTCTTTAGACATAGACAAAACGCCATCGGCCATTTTGCAAAGAGGTTTTTGTAACCGAAGATGGTCCGTTTGAAGGGTTCTCTACGGTTTCGTGAAGTGAGCCCAGAGTACTACCATGAATCGTCGTCGAATTTTTGGGGAAATGATGGAAAACACTTGGGAGCCTCTTGTCAAAAACGTCCACATCACCTCCGAAAAACCTGAAAATTTTTCTTTTAAAATCCGTTGAATTATATAGCATCCGACGCAGATTTTCGTTCTACATCTGAATATGTATAAATGAAGGTTCCACAGTGCAGAGAAATGGAGAAAAATGCCAAAAACTTCGGATTTTCCAGGGTTTAGAAAAGTTTTTAGGAAAATATTTTTCCCAAGGTGTTTTGAAATTCAGCCACTTCCGTCAACTAAACAATTTTTCTGATTTAACAGCTCCACGCAGAATTGAATTATCTATCGATCTTCACAAACCGCCGATTTTTAGCATTAAATTTTGATTTCTCAGAGATGTTTTTCCGAAGCCCTCGATATTTTGCCTTTGCAGACTTTTCGGAAAACAAAACGGCATGGACTAGAAAGAGAATTTTATGCGCATTTCGAATATGAACTTTGTTTTGAAATATACCCTTCTCTTCACTCTGTGCATGCAATTCTTTTTTACCAACTTTTAGAATTATATAATTTTAAGCTCATTAGCATTTGATTTGACGGAGTTATAGCATAGAATCCAGAAATTCCTGCATACGACCTAAGAAGAAGCAAGAAACTATTAAAAAAACATCAAGAAAGATAAAAACGAGAAAAAAGCGTGCCATACAACATTGCAGTCTTCAACAATCAAAAACAGACATCTGAAGTAAGTTCCGTCCAGTGCATATTACTGAGAACAAACAGTGTCCTGGTGCCATACCAGCAGAAATACTAGCCCGATCTTCACAAATCGATAGGTCAACGATCAATCAATGTACTTGCATATGATTGCGAAACATTTGCCTTCCTTCTCTAGTTCCGATTATTTATGTATTTGCTATTTAACGAAATTTGTTTGTGGAGTTTAACCTGTAATCGCATATGCGATACTCCTAAGGAACTTTATTTCGTTTGGACATGATTTAAAAAGTCCTACATATATATATATACAGTTTGGCTTAATAATTGAATGAAATAATAATAAGATGAGTCGTAACAAAGGCATTAAAAGTTTATTGGGTAAGAAAAAATCAGTAAATGACAAGTATAATAACTTTTTCTTGATGTGGAATATATTAGTTAAAAATAAGACAAAATCTTAATAAGATTTTGTTTTATTTTTTAATATAAGATTATCTTATATAAAAACCAACCAACCAACCAATAGAAAATGGTCAAGTAGTTCTTAATAAACTTTGATTAACTTTTAAAAATACCAGATCACGAAACAATTGTTCGCTCATATAGGATCGTCGTGGCGATACAATCAAACCAGCATAAGCGAATATACGCTCTGCGGGACCGGACGACGCTTGTACACTAAAGATACGTACGACTAATTTTTTCAAAAGATTCAATCGAGAAGCTAACCAAAATTCAGAAAATCTGGTTCTTGTCGGATCATTTCCGAAATTATTCCAATACGGATCAAAACTATACGATAAATCTACACAGTATCCAGCGATCTCTATATATGGTTATACCTTAGTATGACTCTTCAGTATATTAGTGCATGATATTGTTATTTGAGTACAAATGTAATGAAGTATCGGTAGTTATGAGGAATGATCCCAACTGGCAAATCGCTTTAGGCGTGAAAGTTAGTGGAGCATAACAGAAACCAAGCCGGCTTCTTATGTTATGGAGAATTGAAGAGACTATCTAATGATATGGTTGAAAAGCATCTGAAAGAAACTTTAAGTTCACTAGGTTTTCTATAAAACCGGGTGTTTCAAAAATCTCTATCTCAAGACTGCGACATGTATCATAACTTTTCTCCGTCGAAATATATAGAACTCGATGCGCTCTTTCATTTGACATCAACTCCAAGATTCCATGTTTGGGAATGTAGTAAACAGACGTTGTAATAGCTAGGCCAAATCCACCGGAAAATGATGAAAATGCATTTTTCTGCTGCGACGGTAAAACGGCTGTAGCTTTTTTTCTAACAAGGCTGGAGACCTGCGATTTTCACCATTCGGCTCAGTTTGCTGAGCTGTAGAATATGAGGTACGTCTCGTCACTGACGTGAACGACCGATGTTGATGGTAAACGGTTTTATATGGAATTAGCCTATCCATCGATGCCGAAAACATCCCTCTCCAGTAGTATTCCTAGTGTAAGGCAGAGACTGGATGAGTACAAGTACAGCCGGCTTGGTTTCTGTTATGCTCCACTAACTTTCACGCCTAAAGCGATTTGCCAGTTGGGATCATTCCTCATAACTACCGATACTTCATTACATTTGT